CCTTGCTCTATCTCCTTCTTTCCTAGACTGCAACTCTGTAATTAATAATTCTTTTCTGATGTGGAAGATCAGTCAAAGCTGCAACCACAGAGCATACTAAGAATTATAATTACCAGATCACCCGAGCTCTGCACCTTGGCTTTGATACCACTTGTTAGGTCCCCACTCCAAACAAATGAAAGAAAAAGAAAAAAAAAGAGCACACAATTTTTAACGTGGTTCGGCACCTCAAGACCTACTCCACGACCCCCTCTGGGATAAAATCTCACTAGTAATTTTTGCACGGAAAAATTACAAACCCTCTCCAATATTTGACACTCACAACCTAAAATCTAATACACAATTATATAGATTGAAGGATTGTGTTGTGTGATGGAAGCCTATATCTCCTCTTTATTTATAGGCTCCAATCCCTCCTCAATTTTCCTATCCCACCGATGTGGGACTTTGAAGTAACACTCAACAAGCCTAACAGCCCCAAGCATTCTCGAGCTGCCATACACCTGCTGGCGCGCATAAAAGCCTAGGAATCAACAAAGATAATCGAAGTATGAATAAGATAATTCTCCATTTTTTTTTAAATTTAAAAGTTTCAGTTTCATTTTTATTTCTATTAGATATAAATAACTGTTCTTGGGACACAACGCTTATGGTTGAGTTGGTTCTTTGACATGGTATCAGAGCCTCGTTGACTAAGAGGTCACGTGTTCGAAACTCAACGCCACCCAATTTAAAAAAATTAAAGTTTCACGTGCAAGCTCGAAAAAAAGACTACGCCTGCACGTGAGGGGCGTGTTAGAATATAAATAACTGTTCTTGGGACACAATCACACAAGTTGAGTTGGTTCCTTGACAATTTCGGCTATCTAAATTGTTCATGGGGTTCGATTGTAGAATCCATATTGTTCATAGGCCTCAATTGTAGAAATTTACTTTAGTCTTTATGGTATAATAAGTTATGTTTGGGAGGTTTTTGTTGCATAAAAGTTATTTTTAAAAGAAAAAAAAAATCTTTTTCTATAGAGGTTTTGATTCCAGCTTTGGGTTTTCTCTCATGAATCTGCTATAAATTTTTAGCAGGGTTAAGTTCTGTTTTCACAGGGGAGTTGGGCATCTGATGATGTTATTGTTGTCTTGTTGAGAATGTGAAACACTTGGTTCAATTTCGTGCTGTATTGATTCGTTAAGATATTGTTTATCAATCGATATTCCTGAAATTGTATACGGGGAACTTCGTATATGTTATTTTGTTGCCAGCATACGAGCATAGGTGAGTTGGGCATTTTGGGTGTTTTCTTACATATTACTCTACGGAGTATTTCTTTCGGCAAATGTAGCTTGGCTTTATATTTCAAAATGAATGAACTTATTTTCTCTTCACATTCAGCTCAAGTTTGTAGCCTTGGTTTTTCATTGTCCTAAAGTTTGCACATTGTGATGCTGGAAACTCAAAACAGGGTGTTGATAACAAGAATGGACGTGTGCTCGCTAGCTTGCAAGATTAAGAGGAAGAGGCCGTATGAAAGAGACGACGCCTGTTCGTGCAAGAGGAGCTTGAATGATTTACCGGTGGGGGTCCTATCTTTCCTCAAAACGAAATGTTTAGTTGTGAAGTAACTGAAGTAATGAGACTACAAGGAGATTTTAGACTCATACTTCCTTCACAAATATGTCTCCCTCGTCTCAGGATCTTGACACTCTCAGGCTTGACATTTAATGACCATCGCCCATTAAACCTTCTATTTGGTGGTCCAGCTCTCGAGAAGTTGGTCATACAAGATTGCGATTGGGAAGGGGGTAAATCCGAGGTAACTATTTCAGCACCCAAACTCAAGCAGTTAACTATAGAGGAGACCCACGAGTTATATCGCCCAACCGAGCATGCTTCAAAATCTGTCACAATATCTGCCCCTGAGGTGGAAGTATTCCACTATGAAGGTGGAATTCTCAAATCATACCACTTCCATTGTCCATCTTCTATTACCGATGCCACTCTTGAAAGTCACGATTTCTTACCCATCGAGGACCTACACATTGATCATTTAAGTGAGGTTCTAACCGCTCTCCAATCAGTGGAATGCTTGCAACTGGCATCTTATTTTGTTAAGGTATACCCCCCCCCATCCGTCCTAAAAATGACTTCTCACTTTGACTTCACTGAGATTAAGAGAAGCGTTGAAAAGATGTTGAATAGTGAAAATGAGTTGTAAGAGTTTGTTTAGAAGAGAGAAGTATTTTGAACCACATTCTTTTTCCAAAAAGGGAAAGAGAGTGAGTGAGAAAATTATTTTGAGACGCATGAAAAAGGAAAGTGAGAAATACTTTGTGTGACGGAGTGAGTGGTACATAAATTTTGTTCACGATAATTTTTTTTGTCCCTCTAACTTTGCTGTTTCTCTTAGGCCTTAACTCATGCTTCAGTCCCAGTGTTCAAAAACTTGATCAGACTGGATCTCTCTGAGGATCAAGTAGATCTCAGCAGCAAAGAGTTGGAGAAGATGCTTAATCAATGTCCGCGCGTGGAAACTCTTACATTCTTGGGGGTAACTTCTTTTTGCACGTCTTTTCTTTTTTGATCCTTGGTTCCGATTCTCCCTGAATAGGCTTGTAAATCAGGTCATTTTAGATTCGGGGCAAAAAGTGAAAACCCCTCAACCCTAACTGGGAACATGTGGGTTTGGGTTGACCCAGCGAGTCAAGAACGTCTTTTTAGTCACATTAAAATCATGATTTCGTAGCATATAATCCCTCCATCCATACTTTTTCTTCGCATTTCCTTTCATGGCAAAGAAAATCTATAAGTCTATCTCTGAACCATGTGATATATGATGATACATACATATAACTAACTACATAGCACAAATGTGATCAGGGGATCTCCACCGACTATTGTGCTCGTCGCCTGTTAAGTTCAAACCTCACGTGTTTATCATCAACTCTCAAGAGAATTTCAATTTCGTATTTCAATGGAAACACAAGCGAGCTGTTTGCGGTGCAATTTTTGTTGTGGAAGGGGACATGCTTGGAAAAGATGGATATATACTGCTATGAGGGTGGGGATGCACCCAAAGAAATTGGATTGTTTTTGTCTGCCTGTCACCGGTCATCCGAAACCTGTGAACTTTATGTCGGCTAATGATCTTTAAATGCTAGTTCTCAAACACTACCTTATAGCTATCTTTTCAAAAAGTTTACACATTGAAAATGTATATTCTTATATCGTGATTCGTGTAATTAGAGGGTATGGTAATATCGAAGCTAGCTCTATTGTAATATTATGGGAAAAAACTAAATCAAGAGTAAAACATTGAACAAATATCAAAATAGGAGTTTCATGTTTATATTTTTGAAATAAGAGTTAAAATGCATTTACATTACCAATCATGATCATGCACAATACTAAAGAGTATAGTAAAATTCACATGTATAATGCTATATTACCACAATGTAAATTCATATTAACGAAATAAAAACATAGAACTCTTACTTTGAAACTTTCTTTATGTTTTACTTCTATTTAGGGTGATTTCTTTAATATAATACGAAGTACTGTAGTAAAGGGCATTGAACTAAATGAATATAAAACTTTATTAAGTGAATTCCCAAAACCATCTTTTCTAAAAATGCGTGTTTTCAAATCGATCCTCAATAAGCAAATAATTACATATATCTTCATAATAGTGATATTTTCCTTCGATAGTCTTCGGTAACTAGATCCGGGAAAAAATGACCTGGCATGTTTTTGACCCAAAACCTGACCTGAAAACACTGAGTTTTGAACAAAGGTTTTGATGACCAAATCTGAAATTGTATGTACCCGAAGTTGACCCATTAAAAATGGGTCAAACCGACCGAACTTGAACTGGCCAACCCACTAGAGTAATAGTTTTTCAAAATCAAACACTTTACTACTCGTTTTTAATGTATAAATTTATATTTCAAACAAAATTTTAATGATTTTGCATAATTATTTTACTTTTTTCAAAAACTTAAGCATTTTTTAAATTCTATATATTGATTTATATATCTAAAAAAAATTCAGGATTTAAAATAGAATAATCTAATAGATTTAATACATATTTTATGATATTTTAAATTTATTTAATAGAAAATGCAAGTGTTAATGTAAATTTAAAATTTTATAAAACCAAAATCATAACCTGTGGGGTCGACCCGAACCTGATGACACTGGGTTATGAACATACAATTCTCAACCCGAACCCGAATTGACCCGAACCCGAAATAACTCGAACTCAAAGTGACCAAACCCGAACCCGACCGACCGATTTTCCAGCTCTATCGGTAACAATAATTATCCACATGGTATGATATGGAGAAGCTAGTGGAGGAGGAAATTGGGGTTATGCCACGAAGGTCAAACCGGCACTACAAAAAAAGGCGGCATTGCGACGGAAAATTCGTCGCAAATATAAGGGAGATCCGTAGTAAAGCACATCTGCGATGGAAAATCCGTAGTAAAAGTTCAGTCGCAATGATCTCAGTCGCAAACATATAGATTTAAACCTATAGTTAGCAAATTTCCTGAAGAAAAAGGAGAGTTTAGTTCTTACACTTTAGCATAAATGCCTAATACAATACCAAGTTTTGAAATACAGTATATGACTGCAGCATTTATCCAACTAGAAGAAGAGTTTCATGTACAGCCCTATTTATAAACACCTACTGCCTAAAGATTACAACAGCTAATGTTTTTCCCATCTCCAGTTTCACCTCAAATAAATTCTAAAGAAAGAAAATTATGCGTCTTGATCGTTGTGACACTACTAGATGTCATGCGGTCGCGTATGGAATTATTACATAATCACATTCTGGAATTAACTTACAAGTGAAGGACACCCATCCTTTGCAGGGAGGTGAAAATGTCAAATCCAAACTGTTACCCTTTAGGTGTGTCCCTGTGGTGGCTTCTGTGACCTTTGTTGTGAGACAGAGCTGGGAATTTCGGAACAAGTATTGAGCTCTGCAAACTTTCCAGCAACTGCATCAGGTGAAATTCTGGTTAGCCGAATACTAGACACTTGTGGGCAAAAGAAAAGTGACATATGACATTAGACAAAAACTTTCACTTTTTGGTCTCAAGGCTAATAGGTCATTCCCACTTCAGGTCCCTCATTTTTTATTTTTATCTTTTCCACTTTTGTTGCACGGCTATGGATTTCTTATCATTTTGTGTCATTTCCAGCCACTTCTCTAGAAAAAACCTACCAGAAAATGGACAGATAAGAGGCCAAGAGGACCAAGAGTGGCAAGGAATCGATTGTGGTGTACCAAAAGTGAAAAATGAAAGCCCTGGACCAAAAGTGGAAAATCTTCTTTGACATGATCAACACCAACTTGAGATTTAAAACCAAAGATTTAAAGAAATACTCCGGTATAGATTCAAGGATCTATTTATGTACGAGTATTAAAATAGAGAGTAATAAGACCCAAAGGCTTACCCTTGATGTCGGATGAATCATACGATTTGACCTCCGTGGTGGTCCACTGGCTTCAGGAATGGACTTGTCAATCTCAACTTTGGGTTCCTTGCTACTGGAAGGAGCATTATTTCCCTTTACCATCACAGGTTTGCTTGATGATGTTTTTGATTCCTTAACAGATTCAGCACAAAGAGTCTCAGAATAGTTTTGTGCACGTTCTTCACCTGCTTCTTCAGTGATCGGTGTCAAAGAGGTATCTTTTGAAGTCCGGCATGAACTGAGCGGTGGTTTTCTAGATTTAAGAGACCTGGATTTGAATTCGGGTACTTCCTTCTCTTCAGCACTGGTTTTTGAATCATTATTGTCTTTCCTTCGAGCTTCAGACCCTTGTGGCATTACATACTTAGCAAAGTTATCAACGGAATCATTGTTCTTCCTGCCCCATTCTGAAACATACTGCTTGCTTACTTCTATAAATTTTTGAGTCTTTCCTGGTTTGGGTACGCCAAAAACAACTTTGGACCCTTCTTTCTGTACACCAGATCTAGTTGTTCTGGGTTTGTTGGGCTTATCCTCATAACAATTTTTACCACCATTATACAGTTTTTCATTATCAGATAGCGGGAGCAAACTTTCTTCACTATTTTCCCGAGATCTTGGGACATCAATGTCTTCTTTTGAGATATTGGTCATTACACTGGTCTCACCAGCAGGATTTCCCAACTTCATTCTTTTCGTTTTTGGAGTATCATGCTGCAGAGGCACATACCAATCAAGTCAAACTAGAAAAAACTAATTTTGGTGCAATTATAAACAATAGTAAAACATCCATGTGCATATTATCTCAAGTCAACATCGTCTCATGATACTTTCCATACAGAGTGGAACATTTTATCTTGATGACAGTTCTGGGGTTTCATCTCATTATTCTTTTGGAAGAAGGTTGCCACAATAAAACAGTCAATATGCTTTTTTACATGAATTTAGGCCATGTAACTTGTGAGGTGTTAGCTTATCAGGAAGCTCAGCACATTCATTCATTTCAACCAAATAATCCTTGCTTTGGGGGGGGGGCTTTGATTAACAATACGTGTCATGCATGTGATGGATTCCTATCTTGGTTGAATTAAGATGTTGATGGTGATGATTCATACCTTAAAAGCAGACTCATCTCTTGAGGTGTGCCACTCTACCCACACTCTATCCTTCCAAATAAGGGTTGGGCGGAGGTTCCAAGCTCTAACCACTGCAGTATCTCCCTGTGCTGTAAATATAAGGTCTCATGAATCATCACTTGAGCAATCGTAACTAAACTTTAACTGGAAATGGAAAATATGGGTTAGGGAAAATTGCTGTTTTGGTCCTTCAACTATCCTTGATTCAGTGACGTAAGAGACCCACGACCAAAATTTCCATTATAACTTAACATACCTGGAAAATTGACGCTCAATATAGTTTCATCCTTTTTGTTCTTTTCAACGACAATCCCTTCTCTCCAGCTAAAACAACACAGGGGAGTAAAAAAGCGTGAAGGTTATTCACATTGAACTGAAACTAGTTTATACATACATATCTCATCTCATGCATGCCCAGTTCATATTGGGCTTTTGTCACTCATAGCTGCTATAAAGTGCAAGTTTTAAGTTTATATCATTACACCTAGATGTTAACTATTCATTCACTAGCACATAAATATGCTCAAACTTAAAGTAAAAGATTGAAGTTAGGACGAAGAAATTAATTACTACCAATTCAAATTTACCAACTGGTTTTATTGGAATTGTATTACTGCTTTTGCCCCTTGACTTCTTTACAAGAATGTCTAATACTCACCAGTCTGTGTATGGCTATTCTTAGTCAAGCCCAAGTATTTAGTTAGTTGTCTGTCAAGTGTCAGCTAGACGGAGCCTCGAAATACATCTAGACTTTTTCTTATATATGATGACTATTAAATATTTTTGTATATGCATGTGTGCGCGTGTACCAACAGTTCAACATGTATGAATGATGAACATTATTACAGGGTAATTTATTTACAGTAAACTACTTAGCTTAATTGTGTGATAGATAATTGGTATATGTAGAATCCATATAAAAATAAATATAGTTGCCTGACTTGCTTCCATAGTTTGATAGTGCAAACCCCACAGATTACATATTTTTGTTTCCCTTGTTTTCTTTGGTACTTTTGTGGATCCCCGATCCTGCACTGAAAGGTTTAAGTATATTTTATTGTCTATTCATCTAAACCGACTAAACAACTGTGTGTTCCATAGTTTTTCATAAACCCGTTGGCAGCTTCTCTGTGTTGTAATTTTTATCTTCTATTTAATACGAGTAATTATTAATACTTTGATAATATTTATATTGATTTAACTAAATAAAATATATTGAATGGTGCTTAATTTAGGTGCTTAGGCTGCCTAAATTGCACTGAAGCACCCAATAGCCTATTTCAACTGCCTACTCCGAAAATGAGACCCCCATTTACCACGTAGTGCCTAGTCCAATACTTAGAGCATTGTTAATCATTGGGAGTTGGGACAACCCAAAAAGGATTTTAGGACAAATACACTAGGACAAAGGAATTATTTATCAACCTTCAAGCTCAATCAGGATAAAGATACCAAACACAATGTGACTCTACATTATACATCCCTTTATCTGTGCCTGGCTTGATAAATATGCTTCAGGCTAAGAAAGATGTTTCTCCAAAAGAATTAAGGTGTGATTTGGCAAGACGTAAAAAAATATAATCAAATGTATGTGCAATGTAAAGTTACTAAGATTCTTTGATTGCATCACATTACATTTATTACGCTCCACTATACAGCCATCTAGTGTTCTACACCGCTTAACAATACCATATATAACACGAGTAAAATATGGTGAAGAAAACATAGGCATAAAGATATCTTCAAGTGAGATGTGTGTCTCAGAGAGTCATAGGTAACATCTTGTTCACGAGTCACTGCATGAATTGTTTCTGACTCTATGTTTTGGGATAAGAGGGGATCATTATCAATAGAGCAAATATTTAACAAAAAACTAGAATAATCTCAGTTTGGGCATCAAGTTGCATCATCTCCGTCCTCCGATGAAGCCAAATATTCACAACTTTTTTTGCTTTGGGGTATAATAATAATGGAGTAAAGCAAAATCACTCTTTAAACTATCTTGGCTTCTTTTAATAGTGAAGTAACAGTTAGTCAATACAATTTTCTAGGCTCATCACGAGTCATCTAGAAACAGCCGTTCTATACTTTAAACATAGTGGTCTGCATCTGACCACCCCTTACCCCGCAATGGGGATCAACTTGCACACAACCCAAAACTTTATAGAAGAGGCAAATGAAGTTTATTGTACCATGTATAAGCTGAAAATGTCTAATGTGCCATTTATAGTATGCATTTATAACTTCATATAAAGAGGTAAGAATTCAAAACGTCTTTTTACTCAAGCACCACTCCATTGTTAATAGGCAGCCCGCCTAATCATTTTCGAAGGCCATGTGCAACTTTATATTTCAGGCCCTCAAGTTAAAAAAACAACACATAAATTCAAGAAAATGCAAAAACTATTTTCTGTAAACATTTCATTACATAATATAGTAGCTAGAATTTCAAAACTTAAAAGTCCAAATTCCATAAAAATCATTGAAGTAGCTCGATTGATATTGATAAATATTGATATTGATAAATATTTAAATTTAAATTGCTAGACAATAGACATCAAAGAAGAAAGAATCAATCGAATAAACTAGATTAAATGGAATAATTAGGAACAAATACAAATATCTGTACAAAAAAATGTAATAATTACTTATTTACATAAAAATAACAATTCAAATAACCTACATGTAACATTGAGTTTAACCTCGTTGAAAGATTTCAATCATTGTCAATTATTTCAAAACTAATCCAATTAACATTAACATATAAGAAAAAATGACTTGCTCTACAACACCAACCCAGTAGAATCCCATAACAGTAGGGTATTGAGGGGGGGGGGGGTACGCAGACCATACCCCTACTTGTAAGTAGAGGGGATGTTTCCAAGATAACTTTCTCTAAAAGAAAAATTCCAAAAGAAGGCTTCTAGTCTGACAACTTGAAGAAAATGGCTAATATTTGAAGTTAGAAAATATTACTCCCTTTATTATCACAAGTTTTTTCCAATAATTTTTTCATGGCTTTCAATAATAAAACTGTAGGGGTATCAAATAAAGTATAAAAGAAAGTGAAAGGGAGGGGTGAAGAGATGGAAAAGGAAGAAAAGTAGGAGGGTAGATGACAAAGTAAGGGCGTTTATGTCATCTGATAAGTTCATATTTTCCGAAAAGGGAAAGTGGATTAAACCATCAAAAACTTTTCAAAGATGCGGAGCAACCTTCCGATTATTAGACAAAGTACTCGTATTAAATAAGAGAATTGCACTAACCAATTGTGTATCCAAGCATCAACCCGATCACCAACAGACCAAACATAGTCCTTCACAGCCGTTCTTCGCCTCTTTCGAGCTCCCTCAATGTGAGCAGCAGCCATAGGATGGTTCGTACGTATGATCGGTTCATCATTACCATCAAAGCTTAGAGGAATCCACTCCTTTAGCTGTCCTGAACCTGAAAGGCAATGCCGCGATGGACATGCAAACAAAACAACATTGTAGATAGTCTTTTAACACCAAAACAGAAATATTTACTAGATCTTTAAAATGATTTTTCTCCTGTGTTGGCTATAAAGAACTGTAATCAATTTTCAAAAAGCACTTGTATGAAATGTAAAATTGGAAATGACACAGTGCGCACATATCAAGTTCAATAGCAGTTGCTCCATCCCAAAATGAAGTTTGCACTTTGAACTCACGGAGTTTAATAAAATTGTTAAAAAGTGAATGGTGTGTGGTTGAAATTTATTTAGAAGAGAGAAATTATAAGAGCTGCATATTCATTTCCTTAAGGGAAAGTGGAAAAGTGTAAACTTCATTTTAGGACATTCAGAATAGGAAAGTGTAAACTTCATTTTGAAATGCAAGGAGTATATGTCAAGTAAAGATCACATAAATGCCAGATCTCACTGCATCTAACAAAAAAACCTAGAAATGATTTATTCTAGTAACAACAGTATTGTTTCAAATCTTATTTGCACTCATAAGTCATACTGATCATTAATTTATGGGAAAAAGACTAAAGTATGAGTAAAACATTGAAAATATACCAAAATAGGAGTTCCATGTTTTTATTCCCAAAATATGAGTTAAAATGCATTTACCAATCATGACCATGTACATTACCAAAAAGTATAGTAAAATGTCCATGTACAGTGCCACATTACCACAATGCGAACTCTTATTTAGGGAATACAAACGTGGAACTCCTATTTTGGTACTTTCTCTATGTTTTACTCCTATTTAGGGTGATTTCCTTTAATTTATTTATTTTTTTAATTTAAAAGGGAGAAAAACAAATCATGAAAAAAGCTTTAGGTGGTTAATCGGCAATATTATAAAACTCGATTATCAACATGTCTTTCCATAGTTCTACACTTCTATAGTCCAAGTGCATCCTCAAAGACACAAGGCCACAAGGGTTTGGGAATATAACGAGAGTCAATCATCTGATGTACTGGAAATAAGCCAACAAATTGCTGACATATGATCATTCTAATAATGTAACCCAATAGTTAAACCAGCTTCCCACATTACTATGGGTGTTATACACCCTTCAATGCAAATCACAAAAGAGTAGCACTTACCTGCGTCTGACTGGAGATCAGTGTAAGCGATGTACACATTCTCATCTTTCAAACTCAATACATTGGCAGTGAACCAGGCCTTGTGGTTTCCACTATCTCTGAGCACCTATGACCAGAGGCAAAAGATATTATCAGAAAAGACATGCATTGTACATCTCATAAATACTAAATACACACTGAATACATCCTCTATGGGATAGACGAACTAAAATGCCCTGTTCAACTTGGTAGATATTAATATGTTAGTGTGTAATGATCCTGAGCAGAATAGTAGAATTTAAATAAATAAAAAAAAAATTGGTATGTAAGTTTAACAAGATAGAAGGAACACACCTCCACACGACAGCCCTCTTTGATGTTGTCTTTTGTTGAAGCAACCATGTTTCCATAGTCATCTTGATTTAGGGAAATGGGCCCACCATCAATTTCTGGCCCAGTAGAAACCTCAAAGGTCTTTCTCAATTCTAATGTTTCAAAACCCTTGTTACTATTTAAATCATTTTCAGCACATACAATAGAAGATGAAATACCTCCAGCCCTGACACTTCCATCCATATTATCAGATGTCCCTCTTGGATGGAGCGGTGAACTAATTTTTAGGGCATGTGATGTTATAACAGATGGACACTCAGATTGCTTAGCAAAATCATCAGACCCTAGTTCAACCATGTCCACATCCGACTTCTCCCCATTGGCATCTTTTGATTTTACACCCATCACAGGCATGGGTTCAGAAACTCTCCAGTAGCCATCAGGGCCTGATTTTACTAATTCGCTCAAAGGTTGAGGATCCATCATAACAACTTTTCCAACATGCAATACTGCTTCAGCAGCCAATTCAGCAGCCTTTACTAAGCCTAGTGAATTCTTTGGATGCTCTGGAGCAGTTGGTGTGGCTTCAATAGAGCCATAGTTTTCAACTTCATCCATCACTATAGATGGAGTTGCACTCAATGAGTTGCTAACATAGTTAGTAAGAGAAAGAGAGATGTTTTCAATTGAGAAACTTTTGCTTGAAACCATTGCTTCACCAACCATCTGCTTCACTTGTGCAGCAGCATCTGATGCAACTTTAGCAGCAGCTGCTGCTGCTTTTGCAACAGAAGCAGCCGCCGCTATAGCTACAGCTGCAGACACTAGCTTAGCTTCAATTTCAGGCCTTAAGCTAGAATTCTTCTGTTTATCCAACTCGGCCCATATTCCTTGGCAGTGACCAAGAGCAGCAGCAGCATGTGCTGAAGCTTCTTCAGCTTGTAGTTTAGCCACCTCGACTTGTTTAATATCATCTGGAGTTAGAGTTATTTTTGCTGCATTAATGTCCACTCTTTTGGAATGGTCAACTAAGAATGAGGAAGCATCGACTAAATCAGATCTTTCTCTAGACAAAGAGCTTGGAGAGGCAGTGACGGAGACTAATGTAGAACAGATACTACTAACCACTGGAGCAGACAATGGTTGTGACTGACATGTGGCCACCGATGAAACCAATCCAGAGGGAGAAACCAGCTCTGCTGGAGCAATGGGTAGCGATGTGATCGGCCCACGACCATCAGAAACATAAGGCTTTCTTCTCTTTCTATGTTTAAGATCCGCAGGTGATGCTGGGGGCCTTTTGTTTTCTATCATAGACGTATTGCCATCTGGAGTACCAGAAAGTAAACTAGAGGCAATGGAATTTGCTGGAATGTGCTTTCTACAAGAACTAGCACTGGGTGATCCTTTGATCGGAGTCAACTTCACTGGTTCTGTAATAGGCAAAACAGGGCCACGCACACAAACATCTAAAGCACTAGTTTGTAGAGAAGCAACCCCAGGAAAAGGTAATGATACCGGTGGTGATAAGGCAGCATGTCCAGGAATGTTTTGCCCAGGAGGGATCTGCCAAGGATTCAGAGAAGAAAATGACTTATAATCTATGACCGCTCCACTAACCACACTAGTCAATGGGCGATCACAGGGAGTGCTTTTATTCCAAGGAGGTGATGAAAGACGTAACTGAGGAATGACAGCAGGTGTAGGAGAGCACTTGCTGCTTGATTGAGCTGCCGGAGATGAAAGAACTTTGCTTTTATGAAAACCCTGTTTGATTGACTGATGTGTAGCCTTTTCACCTATATTTTGCCTTTTCAGGATTCTACTATAATAGAAGAACCAAACAAAATAAGAACTTACTGGAAGACATCAGCTACCTGAGCATGACTGAACAGGAGTTTCAGGGCCAATAGCATGAGATTTATGTCCACAAATCTTTTGTACACAAGCACGCCATGCAGGCTCCCAAATGTTCCTCCCTCCATCTGTAATGAAATGTATCCAACATCAACTACATCTAACAGATCAAAAAAGAAATGGATGAGATAGCAAAAAAACTAACCAGTTGTCCCAAAGGCTGAAAGCATACAGGCCTCATCAGGTACTGCACCTTGACTGCAATGAAAATTATTTCAAAAGATTCATTCATAGCAAAGAACAATAGAAGACATTATGAGAGAATGAATATCATTTTACTTAATGCAATAAAAGAATTTATTAGTGATCAAGAGACAGTAACATTTGGACCCTCTCAGCTTCCTCAGAGTAAAATTTGAACCCCCTATTATACATAGAATCTTTGTCAGCCAAAACACTGTTTTTCCTGTTTTTCCTCGATGAGATACATTTTTTCTACTAATTCTTATAAAATATTAGAAAAAAGGGTAATATAGAAAACACTCCCTCCGTCCCTTTTATATTTACCCCTTTAGTATTCCCAACGTAAAAATATATCTTCTTTCTTTACATGTTTTCCGTGGTCATTTGATAAAAATAATATATGCATGTCACCTCTTCTTTTATAGAACTTTTGATACAACAACAACAGCCCAGTTGAATCTTACAAGAGCAGGGTTTGGGGATGGTGTGTGTAGTGTGACCTTACCCCTACTTGAAACTAGAGAGGCTGTTTCAAACAGCTCGAGTAACGCAGATAGCAAAAGAAGGTATAAGCAAACTATGTTAACAAAAGAAAAACGCAACAAGCACAAAGAATGAAGCATAAAAAGCATGGAACTACCAATGCAAAAACTACCACCAAGTGAAACGCCAACCCAACTACCCTAGTCCTAGCTCTCAAGACGCTCACGTCTAAAGTCATATCCTCGGAAAGGGCCAAAAGTCTTAGGTCCTGCCTAATCACCTCATTCCAATTCTTCCTATGTCCACCCCGTCCCCTATTCCTCCCCACCAGCGTAAGCATATCTCACATCTCTGCACCGGGGCATCATCACTCTGCCACCTCACATGACCAAACCACCTCAACCTAGCTTCCCGCAACTTGTCCTTCAAAGGTGGCACTCTTACCCGTTTTGAATCATATCCAGTCTCGTCTGCCCACTCATCCATCGTAGCATCTGCATCGCTGCTGCATGCAGCCAACCAACATGGGTTTTCTAAACCACCCAACACTTTGCACCATACATCATAGTTGATCGATATAACTTCCCTTTCATCCTAGCCAAAATCTTCTAGTCGGATAGAACCCCTGAAGCCAATTTCTACTTAGCCTGAGCCACTCTGATACGGTGCGCAACATCCCGTTTAACTCCCCATTTGCCGGGATGACAAAGCTTTTGATGTAGTTTGTAAACTTAATATTTTTTTTAATTTCACACCAATATTTAAATATATTGAATTAAACATTTCATTCAAACATTGTAATCCGAAATAGGAAGATTATTTTAAAGATGAAGGGAATAAGTTTAACATTTTAAACACGGACTAAATTAAAACTCGCGAGACTCAAATTTCGCTCTTGAAAAAGAGAAACTGTGTGTTACACTCAGAAACATCAGTGGGAAAGATGAATATGATCTAGCAATCTAGCATCAAAAGCCAGTCTGCAAAAAAACAAATCATCCAACTATATTAATCATGTCACCTGGGAGACAGGGGCAAAAGACACCAAGATGCTAAGGAATGGCCGTTGAACATATGGAATGTATTCCTTCATGTCCTTGTTATCTTACAAATAAAATATTGTATAAAAGAAACAAGGACTCACATTAAAGATCCATAAACAAAGATTTGTGCTCGTAGTTGTACTTGCTGTGAATCTGTGAAATGCCGCTGGAGCAATCCAGATGGAACGGAGGTGTTCAGATCTGGAAGAGTGGATGTTGGAGCTGAAACAATGCCACTGATCTTTGTGTCACTGCTCTCCCTGTTGACAAGTGATTTGTCCATCCTCTCTGTGAATTTGACAGGGGCTTCCTTCAATTGGTTTCCCTTAGTACTTTTTCTGCCTTCCTTACCAGAGCCGTGCTTTTTTTTACACTCAGAACCAGCTTGTGTTGTGCCCCTAAAAGGTGTTAACTGATCAGGCACCAGAGGAATTTCCAACACCGCCTTAGAATCAGCTTTTGCGCCAGCAGAAACCAGAGGCAATGCCTCATCGATCTTGAATATGAAAATTCAAAAATAGAAGTTAGGAGAAAATAATCTGTTGGAATGTTATATATGTGAATGAGAGAGAGAGAGAGATGCAAACTGCTAATCTGTTGGGAATATTATAACTGCTTACTTTAGGAGTGATCTTCACATTAGAGTCCTCCTTGTCTTTACACGAAGCAACTAGGCCAGAGTTCATGCATGTTGACTGAGCCTTACCACCAACATCATCTGTAACTTGAGAAGGTGGGATTCTCTCAGCCACAGCCCCATCACCGAAGTCTTGATTGTTCTTCTCAGCTTGCAGATTAAGAGTGCAGTTGTCAGCAGCATCAGAAGCCAAAGGAACAACAGGTTCCGCAATACTTCCTGTCTCTGCAAGGCGCAATTAAATCAAATCACATTAACCCAATAACAAGAAACAACAACCCAAGAAAGTCTTAAGTACAAAATTTCTATCCAACAAAAAGACATGCAGGATTCCTCATACTGGTCATTTTTTGAGTCCATATAGGGAGGCATCAATGGTAATGCAATCCTACTAACAAACAAAGGTATACAAACCATTGAGAATGTTACTCTCATAGGTTAATACCAACTCTATGTGAAACCAATCTTCAATTATGTTCCATACTAATATTTGCAGCTACCCCTGCTCTGTACAAATTTAGTTAATGACTTTATTGTCCAGTATTTCAAGCTCCCATAAATAGAGCAGGTCATAAATAATTCAAGGAGACAAAATATTAACTACTAAGCAATCCTTTCATTTCAAAGAGTTAAAGGCTAGTAATCCTATCTATGACTCCTATGAGTAATCACTTGCAACTTACAAGGAGAAAAAAACAACAGAAACAACAAGAACCAACCAAGCCTTGATCCCAAATTGTTGGGGTCAGCTACATGAGTCAATAGACAAATTCTGAAGGTCATCCACAATAAATCAAGGGGAAGCAAATTTAAGAAAAAACCATTGTGCCAAAATGAGCATATATAATAAATAAAGAACATAGTGACATAGCTCAACAAATAAAGGCAAAACAATAAAAGCTTAGAATTGCCAATACATGTCCGAAGAGTCACATAGAGCTTGAGGGAAAAGGTTTTAACTTCAGAGAGAAAGCTATAGTACAAATATAGAAACCAGATATCAACAACCTCCAGGTTTTGGCAAGTGTTGTCCATCATTATTTGCTTCATTGTGCTCTCCAATAGTAGCTGTTTTATCCTGATTTCCCCTTTTCATTAACATGTCATGACTGCCACCTCTTATTTTATCATCTGTGGAGCAATATTGACCAACATCACCAGCATCTGCCATTGGAATGATATGGTAAACAAAACTTATATGATCTTATATCTTAATGGACAACACCTGTTGTATCCCCTAGTACTACACCTGATCCTCAAATCCTTAAACAAATCAGTGGAATCATGTCTAAGTGTTACGATCCTTTCTGGAATGAATTCTCCAACCCCAAACCATATTACTTAACCCTGACAACCTTGAACCTATCTCCACCCTAAAAAGAGCCGTATACCCTGCCCCACAACCTTGGCCGAGACTACCCCACCCCCTACTTAAGTCACTCCATCAAAGTAACACATTTTGTGCCAAAAAACCATATCACACAATAAGTCAATTTCCCCTTTCATTTCCCTAAGCTAGGGCCGAAACACACCAAGCCAAACAACCATATTTCATCACCCAACATCCCACAAACATTGTCCCCCCCCCCTGTCCCCTAGTACAACCGAAATAACAAGCACAACAAGCCAAGGGATA